AAAGGGAATAACCGCAGCCGAATTGACTCCTACAACACACCTTTGACTGAAATAGGGCTGCAAACCTCTGTAAAGTTGCTCACATGCTTGTTCGGGTCTTTGTGATCGAGACCTCCATATAGTCCCCTCATTTGCAGAAGGTGCATAGTTGTGCTAGTGACTTCAAACATCCCATTCCCATCAGTTTATGGGATGCAAATTGCACCCATTCCACCCGATTGATCTGGGTTGTAAACACTATTGATGTCGTCTATACCGTCATGATGACCTACTTGACTATTATTCATCTCTTCCTCACTCATGTCCACTTCAATGTGGTCCAACCACCACCTACACAACGCAGCCAAAACCAATTTAACTACAGCCAACAAAGTTGAGAGTGACAAACCTTCAATCAAAGAATTCCAAGTAATGCTACTCCCGAGTAACGGTGCCATTTTAATAAATGATATCAAAGCTACTTCATCCAATACTAAGCATCAGTGATCGTTTAATAGTAGTATAATGCAATCAAGGGTTGGGATCGAATCCCAAGGGAGTAGTTTTTACTTTAAATTCGAAAATGAAACTTTGACACAATCCTTTCAATGTTATGATTATGTTTGGAAAATTTCAATCCAACTTCAAGAATAAACACGAATTAAACAAATACTAGAGTAGAACTTAGAGAATTGACCAGCCAATTGTTGAATTTTACTTTAGAGGGTTAATGTTGCTACAAACAGTAGGTTATTTTGTTGTGGGTAGGTCGGGCCATATATAAGATAATTTTCTCTCGAACAATTACCTTTTCTATGATGAATTCTCTCGAACTTCATCATTGATCGTAAGATGCCCAGCCCTTTGTCCTCATCAAATCCACTCTCTCGAGCTAGATACAAAGGATAGATTTCAGATTTAACTCTCTCGAGCTAAAAATTGGGTAACCCACTTGTAAGGATGCTAAGATTGCTACCTTGGTTCTGTGCTTCTCTCTCGAGCAAGCTCACAAAGTAGAATCAATTACACTAAATATTCAAAACAACTTCAGAACGCCGTAACAATTTAGACCCACTTCAAATTAACCTCCCTATTTTCCTAGTCTAAACCCAAATAGAAGGGTTTTAGACACTCATATCAAAAGTAGAAAAATTAACATCCATTATTCTTCCCATAAGTGAATACAGAAAAATGAGAATTTTTATGAAGAAATCAACTAAAAATCTTCTTCATTACAAAATATCTAAGAATATTTCGATAAAAATCCCTATCCCGAGCCTTTCGTGGTATCCTCTCTAATTTGTTTTGTTGGCTCGTTTCTGAATACACTCACCTTTCCAAAAATAAATTTAAATAAGTCTAATGAGTGACTGTTATAGATCATTCGGTGAGGTTAGTCGGATGTCGCCGATAGGTTGGTGACGCGACGATCGTTCTTTATCTCGCCTTCAGTTTTCACTCTTTCTTGGTTTGACTACTGTAAATTTAGGCGATCCAAATCGAGGTCGCCGAACACTTTCACGAATCGCCTTCAGTCTATTATTTCGCTCATCAGCGTGTGTTCAAATATTCTTCAGCAATCTTTGACGACCTGATTGTCCTTCGCTGAATAGATCGGCAACACGCCAACTAGCTCTGTTGCTCGCGGAAATTACCTGAGTGTAGCTCCAACTTTTTGTAACTTTAGGCGGTATCATTGCTGTTCGGTGATCCGCTGAATGCTCTTTTCTATTGCAAACGTGGTCACCTCTTCCAGGGCTTAGCTGAATAGAATATAAGGCGAGACCTTGGCCATTCGGTGACTCGCCCAATGGTTTGGGCGATCTTCAGGCCTTATCTTCTTCGTTCTTTCAGCTGCCTTGTTCCCTTTTTACTCCATAGTGTCCATGCTTTGTCCCTAAGTTCAAATGTCTGAAATTCAAGTATTTACATCAGTTATTGAGACAAAATGTGTATTTGAGGACACTAATTCTATTAAAATGAAGCCCTAAATGAGTCCAAATTGCGGACTCATCAAAAAGCAATTGAAAAATTGCTTCTTTCGCAACAAAATTTTATGGCAAATCTCGCATGGATATCCAAGCTACATCAATTGTAGTTTCTACTTCAAGCTCAAACCAAGTATCCTACTTTAATATTTGTATCTACCACTCCCCCTCATTCTCCTTGATATAGTAAGTTGTTGTGGGCAGTAGTTACACATAATCTTCTAGTAAAGAAAATATAATAAGTATGTGTCTAGTATCCAAATCTCCTATACTACATTAGCTCTTGATCCCACATTACTTTGGGATCGACTTTCTAAATTCTACAATTTCTAATTTTTTATATGAGAACTTTCCTACGATCGCATATTGTAGATTCTCCTGTCATAAGGCTCTAGATCTCTGGTGATTTCCATGTGACAGTAGGTTCCCCATGAATCATAATGACTTGTTTAATAGGTACTTTGGGAAAATTATTAGTAATAGATTTATGTTTAATCATGGTAGCTTAGTTTGGTGGGGGTGAGATTTGTCATGGTTACCTGGTAGTGCTTAGTTAATGAAGCGGAATAAATACCTCCGGTGGTAGTGGTCCCCATAGGTGGTAGCCATCAAGTCACCAACTGCCTACCTAGGGTTTAGGATTTTTTTTTATTGTAGCTATAGAGTATTTCATGCAGTAGGCTTATTTGGCAATGGAATTTTTAGATGGTATTGTGAGCCAGATAGAGTATTTTTTACTTATATTTTATACATTGAATCTGTTGATGAGTTTCAGCTCTATTCAGGGGGTCCCGTGAGCATACTCTAGGTTTTTCTCTTTATGCATTGCACTGTTAAAGAATTTGCATCATCGTTCATTGTATGATTGTGTTTGATTGGCTTGTAACTACCTCATATTGTCTTTATCTCTTTTTTATCAGTGTTTTAATATGACTTTAGTTAGTTGATGAATTTTTAGAGTTATCATTATTATACCTCTTGTATTTATATAAATTCTATTTCAGTTCAGGGGAACTATGATACCAACTTAGTATGCGTATTTTGTGTCTCATACTACACTTCTACATCTTTTTCTGATGCAACACCTAATATGCTCGTTGAATCATGATTCTTTCGTTGCCTTTGTTGATTAGATCGCAGTGAGATCTTAGCATCCGGAGACTAATTAATGCTTTCCATCTTTTGTACTATCTATGTATTTTATATTTTTATTAAACATATCTTTTGTGTATAGTCTCTTTATGTAGTTAGACGCTCTTGTATATGTGATAGCAGGTTTGAAATTTAGTTTTTATTTAAATTTGCCTTTGCTGGTAACTTTTGGGCCTTTACTGTATATTTTGTATCGTTATGTACATATCTATGCTATAGTCATATTATATATCTATTTTTCTTCTACATAGTTATATTGTAGCTTAAGTTAATCACTTGTTGTTTTGGTTTTAACTTGCCTACCGGGTTTATGCTAGGCGTCATCATGATCTGATTTCGGGTCATGGCAATATAACATATTTTGCGTATCAGAGAGAATTAGCCAACTAAAATTTAGACTGGTTTAAACTAATTTTTCTAACTCGGATCGTCCGGGCTATATTTTTTATGAATCATCCTTATCTATCCTCGCCCCTTGACACCCCCTACTTGATATCGTCTTTTTCGTTCGCTCATTATATATTATAACCCATGACAAGGCTGTCATATGGCCTAGGAATTTCAATCCATAGAGTGTCTCCACTAATTAGTTTGAACATACGTTGGCTTGTCTTCTATAGATTTTTTACTTGATTTGGAATATATCTATTATTTTTCTTGATTAAGATGGTTATTTTTTCTCTATTCAGATTATAATTCTTATGTTTGATTTCTTTTAAATATTTGTTGGTGATCCAAAATTAGCTAAGAAGTTGACAAAGAAAGAAATTACCTCAATCTTTTAAATTAAAATTATTCATTCTTTGTCTATCTCTTACCATGATATAATTACTAAGAAATTAATTATAGGGTTTCTACTGTGTTTACCATTTTTCACATTTAAAGATTTCATAGTCCTATAGATATAGGCTTATTTTCTCTACATTTTTATCACTATACTAGATAATGTTGCCCATGCTATGCACGGGCCCAATAATATAAATGGTATGTTTTGGGGCTAATAACCGAGTTTTTGAAGCGATTGTTTGCGTGGATAAAGGAATAAGTTTTTTTTTATCACAAACATGTACTTTCTTTGACTCTATTTAAGGCATAATAAGACTACCCACATACAACCTTTTACAAATATTTTATGTTGTCAATTATCATTATTTATAATATTTTTACGATAGATTCACTTCAAGAATCAGTGGAATTTTTTGTATTTTTTTCAAAACATATTTTATGTTGTCAATTATCATGATTTATAGTATTTTTACGCAATTTTAAATATAAAAAAAAAACTAAAAAATAAGACAAATAAATTAAAATGGACCCAATATATGTTATTTTTGTTGTCTCAATTTATGTGACACAAATGAAATTTCGAGAGTCATCCAAATTTTTATTTTTTTAAGTTATTAATTATTGTGATTTCTAATATTTTTATTGAACTTTCAAATAATGTACATTACTGGTCACTTTGTCCTAATTTATGTGATATGGATAAAATTAACCCTTTTAAAATGTCTTTCATATATTTTAAGTTGTTAATTATTATTATTTATAATACTTTTGGTAATTTAAAATGATATGTGTTATTTTTCTGTCCCTAATATATGTGAGCCGGATAGAATTTCTGTAGAGTCAACCTATTTTATTATATATCTTTTAAATATTTTAAGTTGGTAATTATTGTAATTTTTAATGTTTTTTAAGTCAATTGTAAATAATATATGTTGCTTCCGTGATTGGGACTTTTCCATTTGTGACATATATATATATATATGTATATATATATTATTTTAAAAAGGGAGTTTTATGCCCAAGTATAATATATAATATTCAAGATTGAGACTTTTAAAATGGAGTTTGTGTTCAAGATTAGGACTTTTAAAAGGGAGTTTATGCCCAAGTATAATACATAATATTCAAGATTGGGAAAAGTCCCAATCTTGAATATTATATATTATACTTGGGCATAAACTCCCTTTTATTATATAGTATAATATAAATATGAAGACTCAAAACTTACATTGTACATTATTGTGCTAGATAAATAAATTGCATGAAATTAATATTTTTTTACTATTTATTATACAGGAAAATTTTGAAATAATAATTTCGCCAAATGCAAAATCTTTCACAAAAGAAAGCACCACAAACAACACAAGTGCTATTATGGCTGTTGTTCCTCCAATGCAGCATCAATATCCTATGCCTTTCAGAGTTCTATTGATTCCAAACAATCAATTTACTACGGTAATTTTTCCACTGATTAATTTTACCACTAATGAAAATGTTGTTTGAATTAATATTTACATTACAAGCTAATATACATTATATTTAATATGCATAAAATAATATTTTCAAAGAGATATATAAAATAATTCATAGTATGTACTACTTATATTTTTTTATGGGATGATTAATGCAGGAAGAAATTGTTGAGGCAGATAGAAATAAGGATTCCCCTAAAATTCTCACTCCATTAGCATGTAACATCCTTCTAAAAGAAATTGATAAAATTTTAAAGTATTTGTCTTTTTCTAAAGCCACAAATAGTTTTTGAAAACAGAATATATCACAAACTATTATCACAAAAATGAAAATAAATTGTCTTAACAAAAACATTTATAAAGATAACCCAAACACACACATTATGATCATTGTCAAGACCCATGGGTACCCCCTAGATGTGACACGACGTACAAGACTCCGGAAAGCCTCATACAAGCATCTTAGCATATCATAACATAAGATAATAGAAAATGGTGTGGAAATTTAAAACATTTTTTCATATTACAAAGCGGAAGTCTTACACTTGTCTCAAACGATCTAATACTAAAAAAGAGTTAGGGACACAGCCCATAGAAAACTCTAAACATAAAAGAAAGACAAAAAGGAAAGGTGGTCAAATCCTTCATGCTATGAAGACTCACCAAATTTTCATTTGCTTTCTCTACTCAGATCCAAGCCACGGGAATGGAAGTCAAGATCGCCGGACCCTACATTTGATATGAATGTAACTAAATATGATGGCTAGCATAAATCATCAACATAAGCAAATCATAAGTGTTAGTCAACATAAGACATATACCATAATCATAAGAAATACATCATAAGACATAAACTATAAGCATAAGAGATAACAACATAATCATAGGCATAATCAATGCATCTAGATAACCGTAAGTCATAAGAATGGTTAATACACTTAAATCATCATGACATAAAAGAATACTTCATAAATAACTTTAAGGAAAACTTGTGCAATGCATGGATAAGACCCATTAATCTCACCCATGCTAAGTAGACCTCCTTAGGTCATCAATCATATTTAACATCTTGAATTCTGATTCTTAACTTGATTCTCATAGACAAGGGAGTCACCTCTAATCATACATGTATTTGAAGGGCCTTTCAAGCTAAAATCCAAACTAGTTATTCTTATATTTCATAGTTCATATTATTCTTACTTTACTCTCCATACATGGGAACTCATCTCTCTATGTCTATGAGGAAGGCTAATGGGTATTCACCTCTTGCCTTACATGGATAGTCATAGGTATTCGCCTCCATGACCATTTTAGGGAATCATAGGTATTTGCCTCCATGCCCTATCATGATATGATATAGGTATTTGCCTCTACATCATTTTACAAGGATCATAGGTATTCGCCTCCATGTGCAACATTATATGATATAGGTATTTGCCTCCACATCATTACAAAAGGATCATAGGTATTCGACTCCATGATCATCAATAAAAGCTAACGGGTAATCACCTCTTGCCTTGCCTTAGGAGTTATAGACTAAGGGTAGTCACCTCACACTCCTTATCACATGACATAGGTAATCACCACATGTTTATCATCTCTTACTTACTAACTTAGGAATATAGGAACTCACCTCACATCCTACTCATATGAAGTTATTGGGGAGTCACCTCTAACCTCATGTCATTTTATAGTCCTTTGACTTAGATTCATCATAGGTGAGCAAGCCTTTCAACCCAGAATCATTTTATGTGAGAAAACATTTCACATCATGTTCATTATGTTTTCATGAGAATAGGCTTTCAATCAACACAACAACAACATAGTCTTTAATACTTACCTCTCAAAGCATCATTAAAGTATTTACATAGATTCAATAAGAACATGCATACTTTCATACATTCATAATATAGGTCAGTGTGGGTAAACCTTCCACAACAATACCATATACAATTCAACATTCATCAAGTAGCTTCCCTCTCAAAGCCTTACTAGTCTTAACCCATCATGTTAACTTTACCCTCAAGCCCTACTAGTCATAATTCAAGATATAGCTTTATCCTAAAAGCCCTAACAATAATCATTCATCAGTCATGTCTTAGTCTCAATACAATTTTAATCTCAAATCTTACAATTCATGATACAGACTTGATCTTAGTCAATTCATGTCTAAAATCTTTACTCTTAAGCAATTCATATTTATTTACTTCAATTTCAAGTAATCTATATATTGTGATTAATCAATTCTAGAAAATCACATCTAGGGCCTGAATTTCCCCTATCATGGCATGAAACCCAACTACATCAAATTCAATCTTAGAATCATAGGTTAATCATGAATACATATATATTACTACTAAAAACATGTAATTCAATCATAAACAATCATAATCCACCCTTTTGGATGAAACCCATAACATTAGAAGAAACCGTAGTTTGACTTGGGTAATTCTTCTTCTAAATTGTGGAAAACATGGGGGCTTCATGGATGAAAGGAATCCATGAATGAATAAGACATCATACTTTGATTACAAACACTACCAATCTTGAAACATTGGAGCCTTAACTTGACCTAGCTTGACCCTCTTTTTGTTCTTCTTCACATTCTAGAGAGAGGATTTTTTAGACAGAACTGGGTTTCTTTTAGGGGTCTTGAAATAATGATTTGGAAGACTTAGTTTTAGGGGTGTAAAGTCTTATATAGGTGGTCTAGATTAGGGTAAAACGACACCACTTAAACATGAATTAAAAACGGAAAGACTAATTAGTCCCCAACGAAGGGACCTAGGGACCGTAGGTCCTCTGACGGTCCATCGATGGGTAGGCGTAGATAGGAGTATCAGGGAAGTCTGACGAAGGGTGGAACTACGAGGAGATCCACAGACCGTAGGTCGACCTACGGGCTGTCCTGCACATCCGTAGAAGGTATTCAGAGAGTTAAAGTTCCAGTACCTAATGAAAATCCTATGTGTGGAGCCATGAAAGAGGACTGCACGCCCATCAGTGATGAACTGGGACTTGAAGGTTTCAGCTGCTGTGGAAAAGTTCTATGTGTTGACCAACGGAGGGGAGCTACGAACCGTAGGTTGACCCATGGTCCGTAAGACGAGTCATCTATCAAAGCCGTGTCCCAAAATTTTATATCCTTATTGTGTTTCCTTTTTTAAGGACATGGTTTTCAATAAATTGGGTATGTAAAACCACATTTTTGGGGGTTAGACAGTATTGTTTACTTTTAGTTCTTGATATTTTCTTGGGGATTAACTTACAAACTTTGGCAATTTGATTTTTGAATTTCGGTTTATAAGATTTTTTCTTTGGAATTCAATTTGAGATTTTGGATTTTTCTACTCTAAATGTAAGTTAATGAATTCTTATTATCAAAATTTGAATTGTGTTCTTGCAAGCATGACTAGCTATATCCACAACTAGGGTTGTGGAAACCCATGAGTGATTAACAATGTATGAATAATAACTAAGTACTTCTTGAATAGTGTGGATGCATGCATTGGTAATTCTTTCGCTTAGAAGTCTTTTTAACGAGTGAACTGATGTTCGACGTAATGAACAGACACTACTTCGGTTCAAGTGCCAACGATCGCGTGTAGTAATATAACCCAACCAAGGGTTGGGATCGTTCCCACGGGGAGTGGTTTTGAGAATTAAAAGAAAAGTAAAAGCAAGTTCTAATTAATCGTAGATATAAATATTAACGAATAAAAATATACTAAGTCAAGGGGTGACGCAAGCATCAATTAACAATGGAGGTTTTGTATTAATTAACAACTAAAAATAGCAAAAGTATACTGAAACGAGATAGGGAGATGGGATTTTTGGAATGTGATTGGAATACGTGATAAACTAGACTATCGGGTAACTGCTTTTGATAGTAAATTGTTGAACATTTGTGACTAGGCTAGACTATAGTGGGGTAAATTCTCTCTCGAGCATCTTACCCCTAATCAACTCGGTTTCTCTCAAACACCGAGTTACTGCATTAAGCACAGCCTCTGCCTAAGCACATTTACTCTCTCGAGCTGAATGTGCGGGAGAGGGACTAGGATTCACTCTCTCGAGCTGAACCCATGTTGACCCAATACCACAGGCTATCAAATTAGTAGTCTTAGTTTTACGACCTCTCTCTTGAGCAAGCCAAAAACACTAAGATGAAATCGTATTTGCAACTACAATCCCATTAAGTTCATACACAACTACTAAAAGATATCATATTTAAACAACAATTAAACCATCAACAAGCAAGACCCAACAGATAATTAAGCCCATATTCATAAAATCACACCCCAAGAATTGGGGTTTTAGCTAGACATGTAAAAGAGGTAAAAATTGATACCAATATCAGTTTCCATCAACTGGGTATGACTAATTAAGTCTTAAAACACGTCAAAAGTGAAGAATCTTTGAGACCCACGTCCAACTTTTTGGAGTTGAAACCCTTTGAATATTCAAGGTCTTAGAACAAAGTCTCCATAACCCTCTAAAACTTAGACTCTCTCAAAAGCTGTAAAAAGTTCTAATAATAGAAGTGATACTAAGCTAGAAATTTTTAAAAAGTATTTATAGGTTTTGAAAATTTGTGTTGTGGACGACCATTCGGCACAGTTACTCGGGATCGCTGATATACTCGGCGATCCAACTTGATCTTTCCCTTTAGGGCATAGCACACTAGAACAATCAGCGATCTCCAGACCGA